TTTTTTTGTTTTGTTTTTTTTTTTGTGGCAAAGTGTCATTGTAATTTTGGCGGGAAAACAGGCGTCGCGTGTCCTAGTTTTAATGTTCGAGCATGCGCAGACGTTAGCTATACCGAGGTCAATTGAAAAATAGGTTTATAAATGATAGAAAAGATATTCTATATACAAAATATCTAAAAGTATAACCGAAGCCACAAATGATTTGTTTTTGTTTATGTTTCTTTGTCTGTTTGTTTATAAGTTATTAATAAAATCATTTGTAAATTGCCGCGAAATACGAAAAAAAAAAAAAAGATTGATATTGATGAAAGAAGGTTTCTTAAATAAAGGTTAAAACATGAACCAGAAAGGATAAGCAGATACAATACAATACAATAAACTTAATTTAAGGAGGGTGACACAATTAACCCAGAGAGTTATCTAACACAAGGGCAGATATGGTAATAGGTAATGTGTACGAGCACGAAACCCTAGCACAAAGCATGATGGGAACCGAGTACTACACAAATCAGAACAAGGAAATCAATAGAATTATTGGGGGGGGGGGGGGGGGGGGGAGGGGGAATTACTCGGTTATTTTCGACGATTTTTTTTATTCTGACATTTTTTACACGAGAGTGAGTGGTGAAAAGTAAGAACATTTTCATTCAGGATTTGCTCATTTCACTGGACATCATAGACCGATCCTGTGTAGACTCCTTGATAGTCTCGTGCTCGACGATTGCACTTTCCTGTTCATTTTGTTTTAGATACACCTATTTCAAAAATACATTGTCATTGCCAAAGACGATGAGCAATAGGCGAAAAGCGACAGGAGATAGGTCATTCCGAGATCCAAGAATGGCTGGAAACTTCTTAGTCTCGTCAAGAACATCGGCCTTAGTGTTTAGACTGATTTAATGTTCGGCAACACTAGATAAACTAGCCTTATTAACCAATCATATTGCGACATTAAGTTCGATACCTTTAACCAGCCATTCAGATAGCGCATGGATATAATTTAGAAGAGCATGACAACGTGATAATCTGATTGGCTAACACTGTTATCAGTTCAATCTCTGTCTAGTTTACTGTTATCTGATTGGTCAGTTATTCAAGTGGTCCTGGTTAGTGTGTCCGCACAGTGATTACTTTTCAAACTTTTCATCTGTTCTTTTAGAAAATTGAAAGGAGAATATAGAGTATCTTGCTAAGGTTTCGCCCTGTTGAAGTTTAAACGGTGATGGTTAGTTAATAGAATTTGTAAGATTTTTCAGCGATTATAGAGTTTTGATTTTGGAGCGACCAAAAGTATTTTCAAACTTTTTAAATTGTAATTTACAGTTTCTTCAAAAAAGCATTAAGTTCGAGCGTCTTGCTTTGAATCAAATAAGACCTCCTTTAGTGGGAATTATTAACGTGTACTTAGATCCCGAAAATGAAATTAAAATAACATGAACATTATCAAGAATCCTAAGTTTCTAAAGCAAAGACAGCAAGCTTAAACAAGATCAGTCGTCGAGTATTGGTAAAAATTGCACGAGTTATTAATGTTAAATTTCTTTGCTATGATAACGATTTTAAAGTCTGTCGACGTTCACAGTCGGAAACTTTTTCCTGGGTAAATTGGTTTCGAGTTAATTATTTTGAAGGCCAAATATATTTGAGTTCAGTAAGGAGTCATTTCGTCAGTAGGAGATYGAAGGTGGAAGGGACAGGCTCGTTATCAGTTCASCTCAAACCATGAACGGTTCGGACAACCTAACGCAAAGCAGTTTGTCGTGCTTCAGTGTACCCGATTCACATCTTGTACGAACTGTAAAGATAATGGCCATCTTGTTAGTG